GGACCACATACAGACTGCTTCATCCACAGAAATTGTCACAGTCATTCAGAGTGTGCCTTCAGGACAGAATGTCCTGAATGATGCCATCAACACCATCTTCTTTTTAAGCAATTGAAGGAATCTAATGAGACATTTTAAACAATCCTGAAAAGCTCTCTGGCTTTCAAAAAAGCATGATGGCCAATGTCTTCTCTAAAAAATACTGATGATGGCACCTCAGCAACAGAGTGGCCCAAAGACAATCTAAAGCAGGAATGAGAACCCTCAGCTTCCCCTTCACTATAAGAAATATAGCAAGAAAGATGGAAGTGATACAGATAATGTCACTCTCCTCAGGAGCCTACCATTAGGTAGGTGAAGTTTCCACAGGCAGGAAAGTCACTCTCAACTACTGCAGATGAAGCAGAAGATGGCTGCCGCTGTAAAGGCATGGATAGACATGGCAGCAGCCCTTGAAACACAAACGTCAGAGGTTAAACAGCTAAATCACCCAATCATTCCTCTTTCCTCTAAGACAGGAAGGAACGATAGGAGATGTGAATTGCTGCAAAAGAAAACAGATACAATATTCAGAGTCATAAATAGGCCCACCTGATGCTGGAGGCTGTCCTTGCAGATGCAGAACTGAAAGAGAGAATTTCACCAAAATCTGCAGCACACTGCATGACCCAAACATAAAATCTCAGTTTAACATTCTGTTTAAATGTATTAACAGGACTACATGTTAAAGCAGACCTTACTGAAAGAATCAAACACCACAAGCACTTAAGTTCTTGTCTGGAACTATGATCCAAACAAGATATGAGTTCTGGAAATATCTCACAGAACTCTGTCCTCTAAAACAAATTCTTTACCTGTAATTCTGTGAAAGTGAAAAAGCGAAAGAGAGAACTTCACCAAAATCTGCAGCACACTGCATGACCCAAACATAAAATCCCAGTTTAGGATTCAAAGTCTAAACAGACAACAGTGAAGCAACTCCAACCTCAGCAAGAAACAAATGAATAAGCAGGGTTTGAGGCTGTGCTGCTTAAAACAGAAGACTATTAAGTATCAATAATGTTTGACTCTAGCCTCCCTTAATGCTGGAGAACCAAAACTACTAGTTCCAGTGTTAAGAATTCTGATTGGAAGTGCTTCAGTCCTCCTCACAATCTCTTTCAATCCTCCTCCTAATGATCTGGGATTTCTTAGTGTAACTGAACAACAAATGACCATTTGCAGCCAGTAAGACATTCCAGAGTTGGGGGTCTTCTCTGACACTGATGATTGGATTTTGTCCATGTCACATCATGGTGCAAGCCTAAAGTGACCAATTTTAAATGCTTCCAATAACTTGGGATGAAAAGCAGCATCACTGCTTGCTTCAAAAGCAACACATTTCCAAAGGTTCAGCTCGGACTCTAAGAGAACACAGGATGTGAAGAACAGAGATGGAGTACCTGTCCAAGAAGTTCAAGCATTGTATTTATGCACTAGCTAATAGGTAATTAACCATTTGAGATGGCATAAAGGCATAAGATCAGCCATGTGAGTCATCCTAGACAGGACAATTCTGATGACCTGAGATTAGGAATGAGTAGCAATACATACTAAAACATAGTAATGGTGAAAACTAAGATAAAATACTACCTCTAGTAGTAAAGTGCTCAGCCTCTAATGGAGAGCTGACAACACAGACCTTATGCAAACAAAGTTATATATATATAAACTGAAGTTGAACAGAAATAAAATTGCACCTTACACAGCGCTGCCACGTGTGTCAGCCCCTCTTATTCTACTTTCTGAAATAAAGCCATTTCAACTTGCTTCTCCCTAGGAAGTTACAGTTTCAAGATGTTAACACCAAGCACATAATAGAGTTCAGAAGCTCAGATCAGGATTACATCTACAGTCAGATCTACAAAGTGCTGCTTAATAGGACTCTTGCAACTGTCACAGCGATGCCCATGCCCATTTCCTGGCTGGAGATCTAGGATACAACAGGAACCCTCAGCATAAGAAGAGAGGAACAACAAAAGAAACTGAAAAGCTGATATGCAATCTTCAGTATTTCAATGCCACCTCAAAATAAAAATCCAACCATCAGCTGTACAAACGTGGCAAACGCCAATAGGAGGCAAGAAGAATGGTGCAGTGGACTGAACTTTTCACACTGCTCATATTCTTCACCCTCATATTCTCTACTGATTCATATCAGTAGAGAATAGAAAGAAAAGCAAAAACACTGTCAGTCATTAGAGTTCTGCATCAAGTAGGTCTAGCAAAATTATTTAATGTGACTTTCAACAACAGTTTGGAATATTCAGACTTCTCTTAGACACTCAACTTCATCCTGTGTGACATTCTGTTAAATGTATTAACAGGACTGCATGTTAAAGCAGATCTTACTGAAAGAATCAAACACCACAAGCACTTAAGTTCTTGTCTGGAACTATGATCCAAACAAGATATGAGTTCTGGAAATATCTCACAGAACTCTGTCCTCTAATACAAATTCTTTACCTGTAATTAAAGGGAGGAAAAAACCTCAAAATATTAGAAAGAAAACTTACAGTGAGTCATGTACAAGAAAACAACCACCCTCTGAGTAGTCCATTTTCCTTATGGGTCTGGAAAAATTCCAGATTGTTTGTTGGCTAGTGCCATGAAAACACTGCCAAGGAAAAGGCTGGGTAAATAGGAAAATCCCACATTACAAATAACTAGGAAAGCAAGAGAGAACAAAAGGAAGAAAATCATTAGGCCACTGCTTTTCATGCTTAGCCTGAACCTCAATTCTGGATGCAGTCTGGTACCTTCAGACAGAGCTGAACTGAAAGAGGTTCAGAGAAATCCTGCAAGAAAGCTCAGAGGTTGACTGGCATCCACAAATGACCAGCTTCATAAGCTGTGACTCTTCAGCAGGGAAAGATATGCCCTGAGCCCTGTACAGGAAAGGCCTATGAAACGCTAAGGGGAAAGGAGAGAGCGGGAAGCAACCACATTCTTTTTCCATAGACAAAGAGGAGGCCATCAGATACAGCCAGCAAGAACAAGCAAATGAGTGGATGAGGTTGGCAGTAACTACACAGCCCTTTTGGGTTTATCTGTGTTTTCTGAGTGAATTGTAATTCATCTGTACAGCATTTCTGGTGGACATGGAATTAGAGAGCTACCCTGACCTCATACCCTCCTCTCTGTACACAAAGTACTTGCTCTGAGGCAGCAAGCCTGCATTCCTGTCTGTTACAGAGAGATGTAATACAGAGATGCTTCTCTTTAACATATATGGCATGACTTCGTTGATTGTGGCTGTAGTAAGGTTGCTGTTGTCATGATAGTTTAAGCACACAAAGGAGGTTTTGCCACAATAAGTGAAATATTGTTTTATTACTAACGATCAGTATAATGGGGGAAACCAGGCTTTTCTCATTGTTATTGTTTGTACAAAAGTGCTTCTTCTGTGCTCAAAAGTTTGTCTGTTGTTCTCCAAATACACCAGTTACTCTCACCAAGCACATTCACATTCTCCCCTGACGTTAACCTCAGCAGTACAGATTAAACTGGAGTGAATGATAAAAGGAAAAAATACAGATTTGATGTTTGGATTCTTCACTGGATAAGGAATTGGTTGGATGATCACATGCAAAGGGTAGTGGTCAATGGCTCAATATACAGATGAAGACCAGGAAAAGTGGGGTCCATGTTAGGAACAGTACTGTTTAATACCTTCATGAATGACATTGACAGTGAGATTGAGGGCATCTTAGCCTGTTTGCAGATAATAGCCAGCTGAGTAGTGAGGTTGATGTGCTTGAGCGGCAGAATGCCATCCAGAGGAACCTGTACAAGCTTGCGAACTGGGGCCAGTGAACATCATGACCAAGTGGAAGGTGCTCCACCTAGGTCAGGGCAACCCCCACTACCAATACAGGCTGGGGATAAACAAGTCAAGAGCAGCCCAGAGGAGATGGAATTGGGGGTGTTAGTGGACGAGAAGCTTAACATGACCTGCCCATACGCACTGGCAATCCAGAAACTTGCATACTGGGTTCATTCCCAGCAGCATTCCACTCAGGTGAGACCCCACATGCAGAGATGCCTCCGCCTCGGGGATGCCCAGCACAGAAAAGATGTGGACCTGCTGGAGCAAGTCTACACAAGCACACAAAGATGCTCCAAGGGCTGGAGCACTTCTACGGAGAGAGGCTGGGAGAGACTGGAGAAGAGAAGGCTCTGGGCAGATCTGAGAGCCCCTTCCAACAGCAAAAGGGAACTATAAGAAAGAGGGGAACAGACATTTTAATAAGGCCTGTTGCAGTAGGACACGGGGCAATGCTTTTACACTAAAGGAGCGCAGATTCAGACTGGATATAAAAAATTGTATATGTTGAAAGTGATGAGGCACTTGCACAGGTTGCCCAGAGGGCTGGCGGACACTCTGTCCCTGGGAATATTCAAGGCCAGGCTGGATGGGGCTCTTAGCAACCTGCCGTAGAGTGGAAGGTGTCCTTGTTCATTGCAGGGCGGTTGGACTACATGGCCTTTAAAGGTCCCTTCCAACTCAAACCATTTCATGATTTTGTAAACAACCACTATTGTTTTTGCCACACTGTATCATATATATGCTCGAGGAAGTCCTTCACAACTTAAATTTTACTCTGAACCTCATGAATAGAGGAAAATATCCCTTCCAGAGGTACTGGTAGTTAGGTTCAGGGCTGAAAATTTTACTTGAGGTTGATTGACTGCAAAGCAGCAAAGTTTTGCAGAACTGAGAGACCGCCCAGAACCATTCTCTACCAAGTCCTTCCACACTCATGTTGCACCACCCCTAGAATCCACTTTTCTATTTGTCCATGATAGCTCCAAACCACTGTAACAAAACTTCAACAATGTCCTCCCCACTGAAGTGGTGATGCTGTTACTACAGACAGCAATGCAAAGATATTAAAAGAAAATGGTAAGACACACTTGAAACCAAAAGGTCCAATAAACAGGAAAAGAAAATACTTTACCATGTACATGAGACTGTTGAAAACTTTTTCCTGGTGCAAAGTGGAAATTTCCAGCTACCTGCAAGAGACAGTAAACATTCATAAATGGTCTGAATCTATGTAAGCCAAGCAGTTGTACTGGTGTTTGGATTTTTAGGATTTTGTTTACACAAGACAGACCCCAACCAACTCATTTTCACAGGTGACAGTAGCAGCAGACTTTATCCTAAGAGAGGTATGAATTCCCCATGTTCATTACAGGCAGTGATGCTGAAATCCATAATTAAATACTGATGTGGATAACAGCTGTTCTATCCAGATTATTTAGTGGACATAAAAATGAGAAAAGGAGGAATTAATTCCAAGTAGGAAACTCACTGGTCCTTCAGAAAATACAAAACAGTATCAAAGAAAAAGAGAGGAGAAAGTGAGAGTGAACACTTATAACAATAATCAAGAGCAATCCAATGTATAAACCCATGAAAATAAGAGCATGCAAAAACAAAGCATTTAACCTACTAAACCCCCCTCCCAAAACAACCCAACCCCCAAAAATCCGCAAAAGACAAACTGGTAAAATTTCATCCTGGACTCTGAAAGGGATATGGATATTAGGTGCCAGTCCTCCCTGACACTTACTAACAATCCCATGCACTCTGCCCTGGAAGATTTGAATGTTTCAAGCTCACACACTGTATAATATCTTTGATGCCTGGGCAAACCTATGCCTTATGTTAACTGCAGACCTGTTGAGAATTAAGATGGGCAAAGTTCCAAGTGCCTAAAAAAAGGCCCCAAAAAGTTCCCCAGTGACACTCTCACTTGGACCATTCCTACATCCAGTACTCCCCTTGGAATCTTCCTGCTCATCATACATTATGAGAGAGGGTCCCATAACAGTTTGATACTTATGATAATGCTCAAATCACAATGTCTGGGTATGAGAGTACAAGGTCTACTTTCTAGAAATAAACACTGTGGTCTCCAGGAAGAATACACAAGGATTAAAAAAAAACAAAAAACCCAAAAAGAAAAAAAAAAAAAACCAAAACAAACCCCAGAGTTTGAAGTTAAAAACAAACAAAAAAATAGCCTGGGTGCAACTTCTTCTAGAAGGTACCTGGGTATGCAATCTGTGTGTTTGTGGGGGTAACCCACAAAATGACAGGTTACACAGTTACCTGGTGCATCTTGTGTATTTTCATATATCACTTGCATAAACCACCTCTCTGAGCATTTTCAGCCTTGACAACCAACTCCAATAGCCTTGTTTCCATTGTTTTTCAAAAGAAGATAACACTTCACATCTCCAACACCTCTGCAGGCGAGTTGTTGGTTACTGCTATCTTCGGCACCCACTTGTGGCCTCTGATTTAAAACCGGAAGGGCAGGTGGAACAATTCAAGCTCAAAGAAGCTGCCTCTCCCCCTCCAGAAATCTCAGCAAAAAGACTTGGTACCCAGGTGGGAGGAAAAGGCGAACTCCTCCAGCTGCCATGCCTTCCTACCAGTGCACAGAACACAAACCAGAATTAGCCTCTTCCCCACTGCTCTTCCTGACTGTCCTCCTGAACCCCATGACAAGCACAAAGATGTTGCGGATCCCAGAGGTTATTCTACTATAGTCTTGTAAGCACCTAAAACTGGAAAAGGAGAGGAGTGCCCTAACTCTGCCTTTTCATAGTCCTCACCATCATGCAGCAAGCTCACAGCAAAAGTTCTCTCTCACCTTGTTGACCTCTAGGAAACCATACACTTGGCAGCCCTCATTCTTCTGCTCTTGCATTTTCTGGCTAAACCCTTCCCTCTTGCACTGCTCTATGCTATCTGGGTTCTTGAAGGCCCAGCCTCGCCGCCTGTACGCTTCTCTGACATCGTCACAAGTATTACAACACCTGCAAAAAGCACAAGCACCATCTTACCATCTTTACCATTAAGAAGAGATGCTCCAGCTCAGGACTTGAATCCTTGACAAATTCCTCTTCAACAAAGCAGCAACACAAACACTGGGGACTGGACCTAGGAAAGTGGCCTAATGCTTCTGAATGAACATGAGCTTCTTGATGTGCCTTTTGAGGTTTGGAAGTGAGGATGCACACTGTTTGAATACAGGACTGGAGTTCTAAGAGGGCTCTACCTGGCCATTTACACAGCCAAGGCAGCCCTTGGCAAGGAAATCTGCCACAAAAACAACACCAGTGTCCTACAGTTGTGAGCAGTTTGGAACTTCCTCACATGAACAAAGCACCTGCCTGTTTCTGTTGCTCCTTTCCTCTGGTTTTAGGCCAAGACATTGGGCTAAAGGGGGGCTTAACTGCAAACTTTCTTTGTACTTTTCTACCTGTGTACAATACCTTGGTTGCCAGAAAAAAAGCCCAGGTTTCTTCCTTGGTTTCATGTTTTGCTGGACATGTTGAAGGAATTCCTGCTGTTGAATACCTCAAGATGAAAACATTTCTGGGAAAGGATACAACTGGACAGATGGGACAAACCAAGTTATCACTGAGCCAAAAATAGCCAAGATTAGTCCAGAACCTATATGGACTATCATGGATCGATTCTTATAGTAATTTCCTGTTCGGAGGAATGAGAAATAGGAAAAGATGCTTGTTGTTTGTGTGAGCCATAGATGTTTGGTCTTTGCTCCTGTAAGGATACAATGCCAGCAGCAGAAGTGAGAAGGCAAGGCCAGGGCATAACCAGGTTTTACATCAAGATAGCTCATGTAATAGTGAAATAATTTAAACACCTCTGCTCTGGACACCAAACAAGCCCAGAAAATCTCTTGCCTGCTGAGATACAACTTTTGTACTGCTCAAACAGGCATGTAGACAATCCAAATAACTTACAGATGCACCTTCTCAACAGTCTTGAGCACAGCTTCCAAAGGCACAGCCAAACCACAACAGCTCTTATCACTGAACATGTGCCTGAGAGCAGGATTTCATTGCACAGACCTTTACAGACATTTGGAAAAAAAATATGCATATAACATACCAGCATTCAAGCGCTAAGAAGATAGGAAAAAGGTGTAAAGGTTACCTAATGTCCTCTGACTCTGCCCCGTAACAACTCTCGCAGCGATCAGCATCCAAAGAATTTGGATCAAACACTTTTTCTTCTTCTTTTCCCAGCTCTAAGACAAAACAGGACTCAAAGTGATGAGATACATCTAGAAACTCTATCTTGTACTCTTGTTCTGCTCTATGCATAATGAATACTCTATGCACACACAACGTGCTACTGCACATCCTGCACCCAACACCCACCTAAAACGGTATGTATGTAGCCTGCTGAGGTGTGGAGTAAAACCAAGAAGAAGCATAGTATTTGTCCTCTCAAGAACAGCCTCCATGGAAAGAACTGGCTATCTGTAAGCCTTGCTGAAGCATCAGACATTACTTGCAAAAACGCTTTGCTAAAACGTGTCTTAAGTAGGCCCAACCAGTACATTATGAGTCATACAGGACCTGCTTAAAAACATGTAGAATAGTTTTTGTCCCCAGATAATAATTTTTAAAGGCACAACCTGTGGTGGCTGCTAAGTGACACAGCAGTAAGAACACTATCGCGACATTCCCATGACAACCAGAGAAACCCTTGTGCCTGCCAGTTGTTCAGCTCTTGCCTTAGTTTAGCCTTTCAATGTCAACAACAGAAATGTTAAACCTAAAGTGATACAAAGCTAAAAATTTGGTCATGTTGATACTCAGAATTACACTGACTCCCAGAAAAGGGAATAAGTAATTCATGTTTTGGAAAGCAAAAGTCAAAACAGTATTACTGTGTGTCCTAGGTTGATGTTATGATGCTTGTATCCCCAGCCGTCTGTTCTGTTTATGCTGGATATTATGTCCTGTGCCTTCAAGACGGGCTCTGAAAATTGAAGTTTTGTTTTGTTATTAGCCTGCTCACTAACGCAGTCGGTGGGACACAGAGATGGGGCAGTACATAGGGTTGCTTTTGCTTTTTGCTCTTACTTTCGCTTTGCTCTTGCTCCTGCTTTTTGCTTTTGCTTGTTAGTTAGTTTAGCTAGGCAGTCCGAATTTTCCCTGGACTATTCTTCTTTCCCTTTTCTTGGAACCATTTGAACCTGCTCCAGACCTGGGAAACACCAGGAGTTTGCACCTTGCAGCCTGCAGCAGCCATCCCCAGTGCCGGAGGGACTGATAACAGAGTGACCACTTCCAGGAGAGACTTCCTGAATTTGTAATCCTTTTCAGATCGGTGAAAGAGTGTTGTCATCCGGTATTGTTCATTTTGCGTGCTGGGGGGTTTGTGTGCTTTGCCTGTTAAATAAACAGGTTCTTTCCACCTCTCTCTGAGGAATCCTTCCCGAACTGGTTGGGGGGAGGGGGTGTGTGCGTTTGCTTTCTGGAGGGGTCCCCTTTGGAGGTTTTCTCCCAAATTTGCCCTAAACCAGGACACTGTGTGACTGAAATGCTTTGTCAAAATCCTTTCTGGTTGGTATCAAAGAACAAGGATGAGTCATAACATGTAAAAAATGTAGAGGAGAGTTTATGTAGCCAAGGATCACTTATTACAGCTTGCAAACAATAGATCAACTCACATACATTTATGCAGGTGTGCATTAACACACGCAGAGTTATGGAGTAAAATGCAAGTTTAGGCTTAAAGGTTAAGTCACTGGAACCTTCCCTAGAGAAGGGCTCTTTCCTTGAACCACATAGTCCCATTTGTTCACCCACTGTGATTTAAAGATACAACCAAAGCCAAGTTTTGCAAGAACAGCTGCTTGAATTCTAATCCCAAAAGACCACGAACTGTGCAACTTTATTCCTTGAATGTATCCATGGGTCTTTGTCATAGTTTCAGGGGGACTGGGCAAAGATTTCCTTGCAAAAGTACTGAGTGTAAGAGTAGTTTAATAGATCTGCATGTAATAAGTATTCAAGAATTTGTGGCATTTAAACACTCTACAGCTGTCAACTTGTCCCCACAGAACAGGCATACAGTGGAAAGACTAACAGAGCATACACCCAGGACAGGCAGAACAGCATCTTACCATGTCTCTCAGCCTCTGGAGTTACACGATTCCCAGCTTTATCCAAACGTTGTTTAAACAGATTGTGCTCTACATCCAGCTGCTGCTCTCCTGCTACATCCATTGCATCAATGCTCAAATCTGAAACCAGCGCACAAGGAAAGTGATCTATAAACATGCATTTGTTACGGGCACACTGAGCCTCTTGAGTCCCTGCCAAGGACAAAAATTATCATCACCATTCAGAAGTCTTACTCACAAGCACAAGGCATATGTGGAAAAATAACATCTAGATTGATCTTCAGTTTATCTCCCCTTGATTTGTCAACGTACAATTCTGGGTGAACCTGGGAACAAAGGAAAAACAGTCCCATTTTACTTGTAAGCAAATCAAAAGGCCCATTTCCCTTGGTGCTGTGGCCCAGGAGCTGATTTTTAAGAGGTTTGCCAGACAGCTGAGCCACTGCCATGCACAGCCCAGCCCTTGCCATTTGCAGTGCTGTTAAATAACAGGGGCATCTCTGAACGTGGGGAGGGAACAGGGCTTCAGCGCTTGCTTTCCCTTCTTGGTAGGGCACGGCATGGCATGGCATGGCTGCTCGCAGGCGGTGAGACGTAGCGCCGTCCCCCCCGCGGGACGCCACGGGCGGAGGAGGGCAGCCCGCTCCCACCGCCGCGGTGACCGGACAGGGCACAGAAAAATACCGCGAACCGCGGGTCTATGCGGAGCGAAGCGGCTGCCTGGGCAGCCTAGGGGGGCGGCCCGGCGGGGGTAGGGGTGAGGGCCCTCCGGCCGCGAGTCGGAGGTAGCGCCGGGGGACTGGGGCTGTGTCCGCTCCATCGGCGGTACTTACCTCCTTGGTGAGGTAGTACTGCAGCTCCGAGAAAAAAAGCAGCACCATGATGAGCCCGCTAACTGCCGTCACTGCCGGGGAGACGAGAAACACTGTCAGTCCCGCCGCAACCCGACCGCCGCCGCCCCGAGCCGCTGACGAGCGCCGGCCCGCTAAGATTCCCCGGGCACTCGCAGCCCCCCACTCACCCAGCGCTCCCCCACACGTCTTAACCCGAAAATCTTCTAGGGTCTTAGGAAAAGCGTCAAACCGCTTCAGCCGCCACAGCGACTCCATGACGCCGCGCGGCCCGGAACCGAACCCTTCTTCCGGCGCCGGCCTCGCCCCCGCTCCCGGGCCCGCCCACGGCGGAGAGCCGCTCTCTGTAGCTGGCTGACTATCAGTCTTGTCTGTGGCCTCCAGGTGGGATTACGAATATATGTTATTCTGGGAAATAAACAGAAGGCAAAGAACCTTGTGCGCTACGGTCACGCGTTTTGGGAACGATCCCCTCTGTGCCGCCCAACATAATAAACATACCACTTTCTAACTTTTAACTAGGTAGAGAGTCTTTGTCCGCGATTTTCGGTTTTAACGATTCACTACCAGTGCTTTGGAAGAAAAAGGGAAGGAAAGGGAAGGAAAGAAAGAATCTAATTGTATGGAAAGGATGCTGGACTTTTATGGCGTAAAGAAGGTGACTGCCACTCATACGTTTCCAGATCAGTTTAGCAGCTTATCTGTCAAGTCTTATTTCGTAGACCTTTCTTTGAAGATGGTAAGCCAAGTCTGTCTTATTATCTATGCAACACCAAAAATATCACTAGCATCACCAGTAGCTCATCACAGAAATGCCACAGAAAATAACAGTGGATATTTGTTTATTTTACAAGCAAGTTTAAGAAGGATGAACAAATACAAAAAGTCACAGAAAGTACTAAAACATCTGGAAGAAGCAGAATGTATGAGATTAAGTGTACCTGGCAAATTCTTTCCCAAGTTTCAGCACAAACAGCTTTTTCTTGAAAACTCAAGAGAGCTATGTTAAATCATAGTTCTCTTCTTCTGACCAAACAAGCAGGGTGTTCTGTTTAAGATAAAAATAAGAAAGTAATTGTATCTGAAACAGGTCTGCACTGCATACTAATATGACATCTATTGTCTATAAAAGAAATACATTAAATCACCTCTTCTGTCATAAGGGATATCACCATTATTTTCCCCTTTTTTATGAACACTAGATTATATGATTATATGTAATATATTTAAATATGCTGGTTTATTCCATACCCAAATAACTTATAATGGCAAGAATAGAAGGATGTTTTTAGAATAAATTATATTATCAATAAGTGAATGGCTTTGTTTTCTAATCTTACTCTTAGTTTTATACAAGCAACTTTCAGACAAGAAACTCAGTAGCTGATGTAGCCATGACATTTTCTGAAAAATCCTTTTGCTAGGATTTTTCCCTCCTGAAGGAGCTGAGGGCCTCAGGAGAGAAATGTAAACAATAACTCTGCTGCTGTAGAATGCAACAGGTGCATCTTCCATTGGTCCATGTGGAATGTTTTCCATTGATGACCAATCGCAGCCACCTGTGCCAAGGCTGTGAGCAGTCACAGGATGTTGTTATTCATTCTATTCTTTTCTTGTTCTTTCAAGCCTTCTGATGATCTTTTCTCTCTGTTCTTTTAGTATAGTTTTTATGTAGTATTTCAATATAATATATATCATAATATAATAAATCAGCCTTCTGAGAAACATGAAATCAAGCCTCATGTCTCCACACATGGGGAGTTCCCAACAAGCTGAGATATAAATATTCAAATTATACTGAAACACACTATAAACACTTGTTTCCAGAGCGATGGAAGCTCAGAGACTTTACCTGGAATGTGTTCAGAAGTGAGGCTGTGTGACATAACTGCAGCACACAGATTTGCACAAGCCCTGGCCTCAGGCACTTGAGCACCTGTAGAACAGAAGCAGATACAGAGAGCTGTTCAAGTAATTCCTATGTAAACAGCTAGGAATTTTAACTTTTTAAAAGTATAATACCTGGTTTATTTTATAAACAAATCACTAATTTTCAGCTGTGCAATGTCTAATTTCACAAGGAAGTGCAACTGTTATAATCTTGGTTTTGAAAAAGATAATGCAGCTGAGAGTCAAGAGATTTATATATTAATTCCAGATTACATTGTTTTACAGACTTTTGGGGCAGTTTACCAGCACCTAGGTTCAAGTTAGCAATAAACATCAATTAAAAGTAATTGCTTGCTTTAGTTGCAAAGCTGGGGTTGTCCCCAGCAATTCACTTCCAAAGTAGTAAAAATCTCTTTAAATTCTTTACTCATTTGTCCTTGGCACACTTTAGAAAAGCAGGGTAACAGCTCATCCTTTGCCCAAGGCATTACATCACTGAATGCCACAGTAACTCACAAAAAGAAAAAACTGCACCCCTTTGATTTTCATGCAGCTTTTAATTAAAATAACATTTATAACTGGTAAAAGTTGGCAGATGTTCTATTCTTTTCCTACAAGAATGGTAATAGAAGAACCTCCATCAGGGGAACAAATGTGGCTGCCTCTGAGGTTAGACAGCATCCCCAGAGGTTACAACCCTTGGCAAAAGCCAGTTAATGTCACCTTCTCCCAGAACTGTAGATTGGGTTGGGTTGGATTTTTTATGGAATATCTAATGCCACTTTAATCAGTCCTTTCCTAGTAACTATAAAAATTCTTTACAGTTTTGGGTTTGCTGTAAAAAAAAAATCTCATGTTTGCCTGAATGTATTTATAAAGCTCCTGCCAGTACTTATTGAGGTGTTGAGGAGGGGAGGAGGAAATTTCTGACATGCTTCTATTAGAGAACTTGGATTGAATAGCTGTTAAATAGAATTGGGACAATGTCGTCCACACACCAGATGAAGCAATTTTTCAGCAATTCTTGGTCACAGTCAATATAGAAGGTAGTATCCAAACTATGGTGGTGAGTTCTTCAAAGAGATTTCAAGTGCTTTCCCACTGGAAGAAAAACATGTAGCCCCAGTGTTTAAAGTGCAGATATTTGGCTGCCCATGGGAGGCAAAGGCCAGCAATATCTTTCCAACCTGGTAGCTTTTGTGTGGGAATCACTCCCAGACAAAGTTAATTTTGGAGCTTGGCTCCAAAGTTCAGAGATTGAGCCCAGAAAGTGAATCAAAGCAAGTTTCCTTAGGAAGGAGAACACCAGTTCCTACTGCTGGTGCTCCAGATCATCATCTGGCAAGTGGAGAGAAAGGCCAGCAAGGTCTTTCTGTACTCACACCTATTGTGTGGGAGCGATTTTTGGACATTTTGAATATCACTGGTAAGATCCATTTTTGGTGGTTGGCTCCTGAAAGAGCATTACAGTGATTTTACACAGGAAGTAAATAATCTAGCCACCATGTTTCTGGTGCAGATGATAGGCTGATAGGCTGGGGAGGTGAAGGCCACCAAGACATTTCTGTCATGGCATCTTTTGTCTTTGAGCAATACCCAGATGTATTCTGTAATAGAGCTTGATTCCAAATGTCCTGAATGTGAATGATGGTACCTTCCTTTGGAAGGGAAGGACCTAGTCCTACTGTTGGTGCTGCAGATGTTAGGCTGCCCAGGGGAGGTAAAAGCCAGCAAGAATTTTGGAAAATTTTGTGTGGGAGCAATAGCTGCACATATTTGATACTTGAGATAGTATCTGAATTTTGGTGGACAGCTCTGGAAAGTGAATGACAATTCTTCTCAATAGGAAGAAAAGCACATATCCCCAGTGTTTCAGGTGCACATAATTGCTACCCAGGTGAGACAAAGGTCAGCAGAGACCTTTCTGTCTTGGCACATTTTGCAACCAGTCCTTGGACATGTTCAATACTCAGGGTTGGTTGCTAATGTCAAAACTGTCTTCCTAAATGTGAATGATAGTCCCTTTCTTTGAGAAAGGAAACAGTTCTGCTGGTTTTCCTTCAGATGGTCATTTGCCAGGTGAAGGTAAAGGTGATTTAGACCTTTTTCTCCGGGAATCTTCTCCATGGCAGCAATCTTAGTAAAGAAATTTAAGTATTGAATACATCCATTATTGTGGTCTCCTGCGAGAGCATTAAAGGCCTTTGCCATGGGAAGGAAAGCACCTATTCTCAGTATTTGAAGTGCAGAAGGCTGCCCAAGGAAAGGTAAAGGCTAGCTATTTTGGAAGTGGAAACCATATTTCTTCTGAGATGAGGCGTCATATTGCTTCTCTTTGGCAAGGAAACTGAGTAGGGATCCACACACTGGGTGGTTTAGAGAATGTCTTAAGTGAATTCAGTTGCTTTTTGCAATTAAAAAATTGCAGTGCTAGCCGTAAGAGCTGTTGTGCTGTTACCATGGAAATGCAAAAATCAAGCTGTTGAACTTTTTGTCCTTGTACCTTTAGTATTTGAGCAGTCAGTGGTGCCATTCAGTTTTGGCTCCTGACTCTATTAGATTGAAGGATTAAGATGGTACATAGAGCTGAGAAGGAAAGTGCAACTACCAGGATGTGTGATGCAGTTCAATGGGTGTAGTTGAAGGTGTAGCCAGGAAGAGCTTACTCACCTGGCCCTTTTGTGAGCTTCTTTGTTTTTGCCTGATGTTTTCATTTTTGTAGCTGGACTCTGAGGGAGTGAAAAAATTTATTGGGACATATAATTTGTGTTGCCATTTGAATGCGGGGCACTTTCAGTCTCTCTGACTCCAAAATGTCCATCTACTTCTTGTACAGAAAAATGTGGCCAGTAAACTGCTCTGTCAAAACATGCCAGTGCCATGCACTTTCCTTCTCAGGTATGTGTACGATCACATTTTGTCAATCTTGGAGTCTGAATCTAAAATGAAAAGTTTCTAGCTACATCTCACATAGATATGTGCCAGGACACACAGCTGCTGAATTTCTGCTTTATCTCACAGCCTTTCATGAACATGTCATGCACTGGGGTTCTATGCCTTCCTTTTCAGCCGTGTGTCCTGTCAAATTTTTTTTACTGCCAAATCTCATTTCAAACCTTAAAATGTCCGACAAATGTTCCATAAATAAAAGGTACAAAAAGCCAGCATTTGCATTAACCTGCACCTGCTGCCTATAAACTGCAACAAGCACACCTCTGCTATGTGCTTTCCTTCTCAGATTCTTGTACCATCACACTCTTGCAGTCTGAATCTAAACTGAAAAGTTTAGAGCAACAGCTTGAAACAGAAAAATTCACCAGGACAGAAAGCTTGTTGGGTCTTGCTTGTTAAATCTGAAAACTTATTCACATTGCAATTGACAGTCCCTTTCCCCTTGTAG